CTGAAATACCTAACAGGATCTTAACATCAGAGGAGCTGTCCTCCCCTCAAGCATTTGGCTGGTAGGGGGGCTCCTTTCTCACCATCTAATGGCCGCGTGGCGTGGCCCTGCGACCGAGGGAGCTCTGCATCGTCCTAGCGATGCAACCGAGAGTAGTGGGAGCAACTTTTGGTGACAGTGGGAGCGCTGGCGATGACACCACGGCATCTGAAGGTCTCTGGATTCGTCGTTTAAAAGGGAAGTCGTCATGGCCAACATCAAGACGAGCTACGGGCAATACCAAGAACAGCCATCATGGGCTGACGACATAATCTATAGAAGAAGCTGCTTGCTAACTGGTATTATGATAGGATAGATGGGCTTAATAATCCTTAATTTCAATTTTGACTCTTTTTGCTCGTATTTTAGGGTATGATTGTTCCCTAGTATAAGTCATTGTTGTCTAGATCCTCTAGCAGTAAAACTCACGAGTCTGTTGTCACGCTTTCAGCTCTTCGTCTCTGAACACTGAACCTGGTTGTTTCTGTGGCCATATTCAGTTACAAAGTCTAGAGTATACTCCCAAGAACATCCATTATGGGCTGACGACCTGCTCGCTAAATTAGCATTATGATAGGAAAGATGGGCCTAATTACAACTAGGACTTTGTTTTTTGTCGTATTTTAGGACATGACTGTTCCCTGTTATAAGTCGTTGTTGTCTAAATCCTCTAGCAGTAAAACTCATGATTCTGTTGTCACGATTTTAGCTCTTCTGCTTTGTACACTGAACCTGGTTGTCTCTGTGGCCATATTCAGTTACAAAGTCTAGAGCATACTCTTCATTTTCTAGCTGTTTTCTAGGCTAGTCTGTCGTATTTTAGTGCATTGCATTTCTTTGATCGCGTAGTTGTCTCTTGATTTCCTTGAGAAGTAAATTCTTACTGTTTCTGTTCTGGCGTGTGGATTGCTCTTAGTGTTTCGTTTTTGGAAACACGTATTGCTGCAGCAGCTTAGGATTGAGGGAGAGGGATAATCGATCTTCCAGAATTCGGGTTGGTCCCCTACTTCTTGCTATGGGTGGGTCTCCTTTTCTTTTTTTTTTTCCTTAAAAAGTCCAGGGTGTTGTAGAGGTCGGTTTCTGGACCCAGGACAGGTACCTATCTACAGTCAGCAACTAATTTATGGGACCCAGACCATCCTATCTTGGAGGATCCCCCTCAGACAGCCCCTACTGCAGGTTCCCCAACGATTTCATCCACCAGAGTCTGTCTACTAACACCCCTCCTACCGGGATCCCTTAAGACAATCCCCTACTGTAAGTTCCCCACCGATATCCTCTAGCAGAGCTTGTCCCAAGCCAACCCTCCCCCCAAACGGGACCCCATCCCACCTCAGGTCCTTGCCCCCCCCAAAGCAGAGCCTAAGGTAACCAACACACGTGAGCAGTCTAACCACAAACCCGTACCTGCATCCTCATTAGACTGCTAACTGTATCAGCCAAACCCCTCATAGGCCAGGACCCAACATATAACACCATGGGCAGTCCCCTGGCTGGTGCGCAGGCAGTGTCTGTGGGTCTCCTACTTCTTGCTATCAGATATTATCTGCGATGCATGGGAGTAAACCATACTTGCGGCGCACCGCGGTGCGCGCCTCAGCGCACGAGTTGCGCACGCAGCGCCCCGCACC